AGTGCAATGGTGAGCCTCGCCCTGGGAGAACCGCCTTCGTGATCACGGTATCTCCTGTGCCAGGTAAGTATGCTCTTCTAACCCACGCGCCGACCCACGCTCGCCCATACTGACAACTCCACGCGCGCTACAACACAGAATACAAATATCAACTCTGACATTAGTTTTCCCAAGAAACTTCTAGTAAATAACACTTATAATTATATTTCAAAACTATGTTTAGACAAAATGTTCACTTAGAAGGCATTAAATGTGAAATTACCCAGGGAGTTCTCAGGCGGTAATCCATCCAAATACTGACTAGACCCGTTATTTAATTTCGCTGATCGGACGATAAGTGGTGCTTTCACCGTGCTATGATTGTTGGCGAATGAATTAGCAAGCAGTCTGTATAAAATATAATTTCATTTGGCATCACTCGTTACAAAGATCATACACAGAGTCATTTTTTACTGCTTTTCGGCTCTAGAAGACTACAAGGAATTGTACAGAACCAAAACTTCAAAACTGCAGTGAAATATATTGCTAGCTCTTAATAGTGTTTTTTTTTTTCTAGACTGGTATTATTATTCAAATTATTTCATTATTATGTAGATATCTTTATCAATTTGATTCTTACTAATACAAGTAAGGTTCTTTTTTATTTAGCAAAATCTATTTAGTATCCGAAATTTGATAAACTGCTTACAATGCAAAATTGCATTTACTTTAGTTACTCCTATCATTCGTTTTCTGCCTATTCTTTTCACTCTTCGACCGCGATGAAATTTACTGTTTCCTATCGATTGAAGCGTAATTTCAATTAATTTCTTTACACAAATATAAGAAGAGCTACAATAAATTGTATAAAAATCCAAAACGCATTTATCATACATAATAAAATGCCAACAGCATCTGGTGTTCCCAGGCGGTCACCCATCCAAGTACTGACCAGACCCAACGTTGCTTAACTTCGCTGATCGGACGAGAAGCGGTGCTTTCAACGTGGTATGATCGTTTGCATAGATATACACAACATTAACTACTTTTCTTTCTCTCTCAGATTTCCCATTCATTTTAATAGGATGTATATTTCCTTTTGTATCAAACAATTTTCAAGACATTCCAATCATATCACTGAGATGCTCCACATTATATACATCAACCTTAATTATCACGACATTCCAGTCATATTACTGAGATCCTCCACAGTATATACATCACAACCAACCACTATCGGGATAAGCAATGCTAAATCAACGTCACTTTTATGCACCTGCCTTAAACCTTTTACCATTTTTTGAACTGTGCAACTCTGTAAAGAATGTAGGGTGCACAAGTAAAGTATAAGAAACTGAGTAAAATGATATTGTACACGGTTATAAATCTGCACATTGGCGCCACAGTAAGTAAGAGATAACGACATAGCTAATCTTAAGCAGAAATGCTGATTATTACTGAATTTTGAATTTTGAGTACTTTCATATAACTTTTTGCTGTTACTATATTGCTGCTGGTTATTGGTAATATCAGTATCATCAGTTGTATTTGCATTGCTATGATTATTACTTGTATTTCCATTATCACCATCATTTACATTTGCATTAGCATGGGATTGTCAAAAGCGAGGCCAATACATAGTTAAATTGATACCAATAATACATTATTCGCCGATACATAACCGTGAAACATAATTATAAGAAAATTCCTCTGACATGTAAATATCTGATTTGGGTGTACTGCAAATAATGATTGCAGCAGAAGTGTTTTTCGCAATTGTGTATCATGCGTGATTATTTTGATGTAATACAGATTACCAAATAACTTCATCATGAATATATTACAGATGCCCTGCACCACAGTAAAAACAATTATACTTATAATTAGTAGGTGCGCTCACAGTGCTCAGGGCATTAATTAAGAGTATTAAAAAGCCGGTCCTTCATGACCACTGACAAGAGGTCCCGTGCCTCTTTCACACGTCTTCAGTGCCACTGTCAATAGTGTGAGAGAGAGAAAAGAAAAGACCGACAGAGAAAGAGGGAGGGAGACAGAGAGTAATACAAAGAACTGGGAGAGAGAGAAAGGAAAGGGGGAAAGAAAGAGACGGGGAGAGTGCTTGAGAGAGTATAAACAATAAAATAAACTGCAACCGTTCCACTATTTCTTATAAAGATTGTAATTAAATAATATGGGACAGTTATCTTCTCACTTCATAGTTCTCTGACCACATCAGTCTGGTGATATTTCGCACATGTAAGAGAAAGTACGTGTCCATTTGTTTGGTAGGACCATGGAATATTTGTTTTTGAGTCCCTGTGACAACACGAATTATATATATCTTCGTTTTTTATATGTGATCGATATTCTATGGCAAAAGATATTTTTTTCTAAACTTTAAATAAAATCCTAGGTAACATATATGGGGTCAGAATAAAAAAGCATATTTCATATTTTGCCAACAAAGGACTGGTGAATCTGCACAATATCTTTTAATCTATACACATTTAAAAATATATAGATGCATAATTATATATACAAAAAAATATATATACATCAGTATGAATAAAGATATATGTAATATATACAAATATATACATATATACAAATAATATTTTGTATATATATAAAAAAATATATACATATATATTCAAGTATATACATACATATTTAGTATAATCATGAGTATACAATTCCTATTACACGCATTGAACTTATTTAAAGAAAATAGCAGGATTTCTTTCAATATAAGTTTCTTAGTCTTATACCTATATTTTCATATGTCCTCGATCCACTTTTATTGATACTAAGGTTCTCATTTGTTAATTCTGGTTTCCCTTCAAAACGGATAAATACTTCCGTGGAGCGGAACAACTCAATGAGTCTTACTCAATTTTTTTATAGCCCACTTCCCTGGGTTCAAACAAGATATGAGATTATAATTGAAATATATATTCTATATTATGACGAACGTAGATTTTCATATCAACGGTTTCTTTCTTTCTTGAACTTAGAACTTAGAAAATTAAATAATGAAAAAAATGGAAGCAAAACATAATGAGCTTTTGCACAGAAAAAAAATCAGTATAGTTGCATTTATATTCTTGCATACACACATCTTAATTACATTTACATTTACATCAACTGTTCATTATTTCTCATTAAAAGACCGATTCACAGCACTACATCATATTCCTATAATATTGCCCAATAACCGCGCATATAGCTTCAATGGTAAAAATACTTTTTTGATCTCAAAAGAAAGACTACCATGCTACTTATCTGAATTTCCTTCTGCATTTCGATACTTTTAAACGTTTACGAAATACATCAATATTCTCAAACGAGTGATCTGTAAAATTTGTGTGATTTCAGAATAATATATCGGTCTTGTCATTAGGCACTCTTCTTCCAGTGAGCTGCTTTGACAAACTAACCTAACGAAAAAGCAAGCAAAGAAGAGCTGCCAAGGTGGACAGGTGGATATGGATCATTTTTCTGTGAAACCAAAACTGTTAGGGGGATAGCGCGAACGCAGTCCCCCGCTACCAAAAATTGCGCACTCGAGTTAACCACATTTGGGTTAATCGCAGGGGTCAGCGCCACCGGAGTGCAATGGTGAGCCTCGCCCTGGGAGAACCGCCTTCGTGATCACGGTATCTCCTGTGCCAGGTAAGTATGCTCTCCAAAACCACGCGCCGACCCACCCTCGCCTATACTGAGAAGCCCACGCGCACTACAATACTTTATACAAATATTAGAGTTTGATTTTAGTTTTCCGAAGAAACTCCTAGTGAATAAAACATATAATTATAATTCAAACCAGTGTTTAAATGAAAATGTTATTTACAAGCCATTCAATGTGAATTACCCGTTACATATAATAAAGTGAATGTTTTTTGTTTGTTTCTTTTTTTGCGACATTAATTTCAACATTCTATACCACGTACGTAAACACATGTACGCGCACTCAAACACTGTAGCCGCTGTTATCAACATCGGCATGGCGTACCCGCTGGCATCAGCATCACGTGTATAACATCTGTAGCCACTGCCATCAGCATCGGCATAGCATAGCTGCTGGCCTCAGCATCCCGCGTATATCATCCCCTCTAGGACTTGGTTGACGGTTTCCTCATGGGTTGCGATAAGGATAATGCTATGGCCGTGGTCCTCCATGTGTTTGTATGTGCTGAATTAGGCCTTGTCCCTAGTGTTGATGTATATATGAAGGAAGGGCGTCTCACGAAAGGGGGGCCATTACAGGTTTATAAAACAGTTTGAGAGTGACTATTGGCTCGACAACACGTGCATAAGGACGGATCTGTGGACTTCTGTTAAAGGCCTTGACTGTTCCCGCTATGCGTATGCATCATACACACTCATGTATAGATATACATTAGTATCCGTGTATGTTGTTGCTTAACTAAAGCAGTAGGGTACAATGACATTCTTAGCAAACAGTAAAATGTTATGCTTTCTATAGTTGTAATATTATAAGTACTGATATGATCTTGTTAGTGAATCTAAGTCGAATTGGCATGGCATAGCTGCTGGCCTCAGCATCCCGCGTATATCATCCCCTCTAGGACTTGGTTGACGGTTTCCTCATGGGTTGCGATAAGGATAGTAGATTGTAAAAATGTATTTATGGCAGGTTTAGAGAGTTTTTACCAGTAGAAAACGGACAATTTCTTTTTATGGGCATACTTGCGTAAACATTCTGTGGTCGTTTACTATTATGTATATGTGGGTATATATTAATAGAAGTTTTGTGGCAGTTGGTTAAAAAGCTGAAAGTTTTTGTACTTTCTTTGGAGTCCGATGAAGTTATCCAACGTTAAAAAATCTTAGCAACTGGTTTGTTTTTTTCGAATTCTCATATAGGAAACATTTTCATTTAACAATCAAGATTTATATAATTTCCAACGTCATGTCGTTTACGCCCTTCTATCTATAAAGAACTTCAGTAGAAAGTCCTCAGAAATTGTTTCTTGGACACCCTTTCCATCATGTTCAGTATCGCTTCTCGGCCTTTTGGCTAAGATCAAAGTGTAGTATCTGTTCTTATCAGCTTAATATCTGATACGATCCCATGTGGGATCTACGATATTAAACTGATTTTTGGATATGTCAAACTGATTTCTAGTGGTTTACTACACCTTTGCAATGGGTCGCTAGTACCTCAGTTATATGAACGCAATATCCGAACTATATTACTATCATTTCAAATTAGGTGTCTGTAAATTACAAATATTTCTCTACTCTGTAACACCTTCACTTCATCTACTATGCACATCAAGTGCAATTTAGAAACAAGTAGTGACGCATTTTTATACAGAAATGTAAATACAAGGACTTGAACCTACTATACCCACACAACACCAGGGGAACCATACTCTACAATAGCTTTCATAGAAATTACATTGAATAAGTCAAATCTATAAGGAATACATCAACTAACTGTTTAGTTTTTGTGCATTGTCAATTTGTACTGTAGCTCCTCTCTCAATAGTTGAGTGACGCTTTACAGATTTGCTTCCTCGTTGC